GGAGTCCATGTGATTGAACCATTGGAGTCCGAAGGAAAATGGGGCACCTCTCCTCCAGTTGAAAATGGTGCAGGACCAAGTTGCACATCTGGTCCAACTGACTCAGAGCCACCCCAACGATAACCAGTCAACGAGCAAGTATGTCTTCTGTTCTATCCCTGCCATCCCCAAATGGTTCCATGCCAACGTGACCTAAAAGGGAAAGCTGCATAAAGCAAAATAATAGGTTTACATTAGAGAAGGCATGACATGGATTTTGCGGCAGAGGCATTGTAGTGTTCGTTGATTTGATTATTTCTCGAGGATTGGCTGTAAATGTAGGAGTTGGTCACTTGCTGATTACATACTTAGGCTTGGAAAAAGGAAATTAGGGATAATGTGTTGGTTTAAATAGTTAGGAGCGCGGTGTCTCTGTGTTCATCATTTAGCTTAGCTTTTCAGAAACTGTTAAATTGTTTAATATGTGACCAATTATTTTTAAATTATGTTGGTAGCTTATTCATCTTCATGAAAATGTGTAATTCTCAGCTATTATGAGTCGTCCCAATGAATTTCTGCTATTTTCTCACATACAGGGAAAATGAAACAAAACAGAGTCCAAAAATATGTTACAAGACATTGGCAACATACCATTCAACTATACAAAAAACATGAATGTGCTTTTTCCCTAAGTCTGCCTTCGACCCGATTTCTTGTGCCTCCTGCTGTTAGCAGACGATGATTGTGCAGATGGAACAGGCAAGACCGTTCCTCCCCTGATACTATCGGAATCTGTCATGTCAACAAGTGTCTTCTGAGCTTCAATATAGACCTTAAGATCACGTATCTGTCACAATGAACTACGATCAAAGCTGGAAAATCTCAGGCCATTGCATAGAAAATTATAAACTTGGGTCATTAAGATACCTGCTCTTCCAGATCAAGTATCTTGTCATCCATCAACCTCGACTCAGAGGCTTCCCTAAAAGGAAAAACAGAGAACCTGTAAGATCTGGAACCCGAAAAAGCCAAATGCTAATACAAAGTAAATAGAGTAAATACAAAGTGAGTTGCATGTGCACTGGTAGTAAATCTCCCCTTTTTCAGGCAAGAAAAGTATCCAGGGTGGAAAATAGAGTACCTCTCTTCAATTTCCTTGACCTTATTGCGCCAAACTTGTTGGTCTTTTATGAATTTACGATTGACCTGCAACGAACAAAACTAGAGTGGTAACAAATGCAACAAATTGTACAACTGATAGTGATGCTAAAGAACCAACTATGCAAATGCTTTTTGACAAAGTTAAGCGCAAAAAGAAACTGTATAACGGAAAATGTCGAAACACACCTCAGTAAGAGCATTCTTTTCCTCTGTGCACTTATCCAGATTACTCTGGATGTCCTGCATTTCGGATGTCACAGCTTTCTCCACTGCCTCAGCAATGGTACTCTCTCTTTTGCTTTTGGCTTCCGCGAGCATAGATTCATAATTCTGTAGGATGGTGAGTAGAGAATAATATAACAAATGGTTCTTTACACTGTAAAAATCACTATAGCACCAGTAGGACAAGAACAATAGAACAGAGAAAGAAATCCTTGAATTAAAACAAAATCAGTGTTCCTCTTACTTGTCTTTGTTTCTCTAACTCAGTAGCCAGAAGTCGGCTGTACTCGTCAAAAACCTGTTTCATTGGCACATATGTTATAGTTGGAACATGTGCAGGTGAAGTGTAGAGCAGTTAGATTGTTACATATCCACAACTACAGTTTCAAAAGAAGAAGTACAAAGTATGACAATATAATTTGATCTACAACTCTTCATTGTAAAGGCTTTTCCAATAAATTCGAATAATTGGATCCAAAGCCATATATGTGTCAGTTATAGCTAATGAAATTGTTCTACTCGTTCAAGGAAACCTATTAAACTTACAAGATAAATACAGTCCAGATTTCCAATCAGCTAGTCTAAGATACCCATGATTTATCATTGAGCAACAAAATAACCTGCGAGAAGTAATTTCCAATCAGCTAGTCTAAGATAAATACATGTGTGTATATGTGTGGAGAGGAAGAAAAGTAATGACTCGTAACTGCAAGTTCATATATGGGAGGGCAGGGCAAGTAGGTAGTTAAAGGGGAAAAGAGAATAAAAAGTTTCAATCCCTTTGTTCAATTAATAAAACTAAAGTCTTCAGCAAGAACTTGAGACACTAAACAGGAAAAAGGAACACTTTGTCATGCCAGTTAGAAAGACAAAAATTCATTTGCAAACCTTAAATGTCACATCCGCAAAGCCAAAAGTAGAGTTTGGCAGCTGAATTCTGCTACCATTTATGTTGTCCAGCTGCCTGCTGCCTTTCGTAGCAAGTCCATCCTTAGAAAACATTACAGTTGTATTAGTTGAATCATCAGAGACATCAGCAATACTACCAGAATTTCTAACATCCTTCTCTATAACTCCATTCCCTTCAGCAGTCAAGATCCAGCTCCATAGTTTGCCATCATCAGAGATGGATATCAAATGAGCCTTAGCAACCAGAAGAGTATCATCACAAAACTCGAAAGGATTATCAAAATCCACATCAGATGCAGCATTTGATGAATTTGAATAAAGCTTGTTAATATTTTGAAGAGTTGACTGTGATTGGCTGATAAGGACTGCAAGAACTGATGGTGAAGGGACAGGTGAGCCAATTGATGGCATCAACTCCTCCATTGTGCACATTACATGTATCTGTTCTCCTCTGTAATAATAACCAAATGAGAGCAATCCCTTCCAGGCAACTTTGGGAATTTAAATATCATTAACTTCTTTGGCCGGGCAAAAAAAAAAAAAAAACTCAATAAAACAAAAAATATTTACTGTAACAACAAAGTATCACCTCGGAAAAGAACTAAAAAACTTTAGTTGATTGCCGATATGATTCTATCTCTAGTTCTCTACAAGATGATAAACTAATAAACAGATTCGCATGACTGAAGCAGTGGATATATAGTTTACAAGTTGATGAAAACCATATCACAGTTCAACCAGTGATATAGATTTTAAATAACATACATTCATCGAGTAGATGATTTTATGGGCAGGATGCTGAGAATCTATCATTATCATAACTTGAAAGGATATTTCGAAGTCTTTCCAAGTATTTACATTGCCTAGTCCCCAGTTCAAAACTTTGTCTCTTTTTCCTAATTTAGTTACACGACATTTATGATCCTTAAATAACACAAAGTACAGCCTCTTCAATCGTATCAAGTATAAATTTGAATGCCATATGTTGCAGGAATAAGATGGAAATAGAAAATCCTTATTCCTTTCTTCGCCAGATGCTGATCTTCCCATCAAGAAACTTGGACACCCGCGCGGCAATGTGGCAGAGAGAAGTGTTGTTTCATACTTCAAACCAAAAACCACCAGCTCCTTAGGAAACGCCACGTAAATGACGTTCTTCCAGTGCGGCGAAAATGCCAAACGCACTGCATAGAGCGGGAAAACAGCAGAAACGGGAGAGGAAGAAGAAGAAGAAGAACTTCCTCCTCCTCCTCCAGCAGCAGCATCCTTTTCAAGCTTAAGTAACTCAGTACAATCGGTTCGAATCTGGGGTTTCTTGAGGGCAATATCGTCTTCTCCTTCTCCCAACACTTTGATCTAAAGAAGAAACCCTTTGAGTCCGACGACACACAAATGGCGGGAGTCGAAACGATCGCGGCGGATACGCGATAGATATTCAGGTGAAGCGTCATACTTGAAGATGCACCGAGAAGAGGATGTGTTGTAAAGAGAAAGATAAGAAGGGCCACGGAGAGAAGCTAGATGGAAAGAATCGGACCGAGCCTGCACCCAACAAAGGTCCTGGACACCGAATTTCGAGGAAGGATCGGGAGGATCAATGGAAAGGATGAGAGAACGGAGCCGAAAATCGAGGAGAGCTATACGACCGTGGCGATCGGCGGCGGCGAGGATGAGATGAGAAGAGGAAGGTTCGGTGGAGAGGAGGTCGCAGCCAAGAGGGAGAGGGGTCCAGCGAACGGAGGTGACGAAAGGGGAGAGAGAAGAGGAGGAATTGGAGGAGGACGGAGGAGGGAGAGGAATGGTGGCAAAGAGTTGGAGAGAACGAGAGTCAACGACGGAAACGGAGGAGCCGAAGGCGAAAGCGAGGAGACCGGAGGGGCTTAGATCAGCAGATCCGAAGTTGTTGCTAGTGGGTGGACCGGGGAGTGTGGAATCCCACGAGTCATTGGGTAACGGTCTCGGGATGGGTATCGACATTTTCGGGAATTCCGTTTTGACTGTCCTAACGCGAATTAGAAGGCAAACGGGAAGAAAGGGAAGGGTACATTGGTTTCGTTTCAAGCTGTATTGCTGACTCCATCGTTACTGTCTTACCATATGGATCAGGGAGACAATCTAGCCCCCCTTTACACTTCATTCAACTTAATTTTTTTCTGTTTTAGTATTTAAATTTTATCCTTTTAAAATTATATTTACTATTTAATTTTAATTTTAATTTGATATTCATCGTTAGAGGTAATTGTGTCAAATTTAACCTTGAATCAAATGCTGGCCACCTTCTATCTTAACAATTCCAAGTATAAGAACAAAATATATTAGTAAAATTCATAAATTTTGCAGCTCTTGACCCATAATTTAAAACATCAGAGCTTCCCTGGTTTCCTGTTCTACAAACAAACAAATTACGACAATAATTGTTCCAACAATGCTTGGCTTTGGAATTATCATGCCATGAACATGCAGTGAATTCCTTCACCTAAACAGCCAAACCAATAGAATCTTTTCCCTTGATTTCAGTTTTGGAATCTTCCAATCCCTGTTCTTAACGAATTATATCTTCAAAGATAAAAAAAACAAACACTTTTCCAGGAATGTGGTGTCAAACTTTGACCACTGACAAAACTATAAGTAGATAACTTTAAGATTGTCATATCAGAGAATGAGAGACAGATAGCTTCAGAAAACAGATTTGGGGGGGTTCTCAAATTCTGCAATGGAATATCAAAGAGTAATGGTAATCCAAGATGCATCTAAGCAAGTTTGTTCAAGTGCTATTAAATGGGCAATTCATGGCTTACTTCTCAAGCCTGGAGATATGATTGTCCTCCTTGGGGTTCTTCATCAGGTTACTGATCCTACTAAACCTGAATCTGTCAAGGGGACAAGGAAGCTTTGTAAGATTACGTAATTTTTCTGGTAAACTGCGTATTTAATCACTCACCTATTTCCGCAATTTCATTTTGATGATCACCAACTATTTTCCCCCAAAAGTATATCTAACGTTACGTTTTATTTCCGTTTTTTTCACATTTTGTTTAAAAAATATGATAATATTGACATATTACTATAAGGTAAAGTCACGTCATCATTGAAAAAATAAAATTGTCACATCAGTAGTTTTGTTTATTTTTAATGGTGGATAGACAAAACATAATCAAAACCTAACTTTATGTATGATTTTGAAAAAAAGAAAATAGTTAGGTGATCAAAACAAAACCATAGAAATATATAGGTGACTAAATACGCAATTTACCTTTTTTTCAATATTATGAGATTGTTTACATCATTTTGACTGAGTTTTTTTTTTAATCCAATTTGTGTTCTTGATCTGCTTTTTGAAGTAGGGTATAGGAAGAAAGTGGATTCCAGTTCAAAGGTTGCAGCAAATCACAGAATTGTTGATAAGGAAGCAGCAAGGAAGGAGTTTGAGAATAATGCTGAAATATTGGAAATTTCCAAGGTCTGCAAAGCTGAAAAAGTTAGTAAAAAATGTTTTTAATTATTTATATTCTATTCGTGTCAGGTCGAATCATCCCCTAGGTGAAAAATATCACATGCTAATGAGAGATCACCATTGGTAACTCAGGTTGAGTTCAGGGTAGAAGTAACATCAGGAACATCACCAGCACTTGTGGCTATGCAATCAGCACAAAATATGAAGCCAACATGGGTAATTCTAGACAGGTTTGGCAGAAAAATAAAAATAAAAAACAGTGCATAAGCTTGCATTATTTAGAGATGAAAAACCAAAGATGTATAAATAGAAATGCAAATGAATTTGATTCAAAGGGGCCTTTTCTGAACCAGGAAGATGAAGAAAAACAAGAAAATCTTTATGGAAAAGCTTTCGTGTGGTGTATCGAGGATGAAGAAAAACAATGGCATCAAGCTATTACGAGGACCAACAACAAAGTTTTGTGCAACTTATAATGATATGATGCCAGGGTTCCTAGATGAAGATGATCTCTTCAGCATTGAACTTTTCCCAACAGGTAAGATGAACTATGATATAATCTAGCCAGTAAGGTCTAATGCCATAGCTTAAAATGCCGAAGTGACTTAGTTGACCGATATCTAATTACCACATGTCAGATCAACATCATGTCAGCATCTAGAAATGAAATTTGTTCATCAAACATACAACTTTATACAGGTGGATCGGATGCTAATAAAGTAAGTCAAAACCAGAGACTTGTAAATACCAGCAGTTCTTCAAACACAAGGTTGCAAGCCGAAGAAACCCTTGAAAATCCAGGATGCAGCATTTGTGATAGAAGAATTCATATCACTGAATGGAGAAAAGATTTCACATATGTTGAACTCCATGCAGCTACAGATGGATTCTCATCAAAGAACAATCTATCACAACGCGGTTTCGAACGTACTTTCAGAGGTCAGCTAGAAAACAAGCAGGCCATTGTCATTAAACCTGCGAAAAACAATATATCGTTTCAAGAACCGAAGGAATTCAAATCAGAAATAGATAAACTCATCAGAATTCGACACAAGAACTTAGTCATACTGTTAGGTTGCTGTGCAGAAGGAACTCATAGGTTACTTGTTTACGAGTATGTCTGCAATGGTTCACTTAATCAACATTTAACAAGTAAGGACAACTCTGATTCAGGCATTTTAGCATACACTTGGCATCATCGACAATGTCGAAACTCGAAAGCTAATATTTTATACAAATTTGAAGCAGAAGGTAAACCTATGCCATTGAGTTGGACACAAAGGGTAAAAGTAGCAATTGGTGCAGCCAAGGGTCTAAGCCACCTGCATCAAAACAACATCATTCACAAAAATATAAGATCAAGTAACATTTTTCTAACACATGGTTTTGAACCACTGGTAAGAACTTCAACTTATGTGTCATAATTACATCCATTTTAAACCTTAATATATCTGAAAGTTCATGTTACAAATGTTTTGTTTAAGCTTGGAGATTTTGGGGTAGCAGAGCCGAGCTCGACGCAAAACAAGATTCAGACATCTAAGTATTTACCCCCAGAATTTCTTGAGAATGGGACATTGTCTACTCAGACAGATGCATACTCTTTTGGTATGGTTCTACTAGAGATACTTACAGGGAAGACGGCCATGGACAAAGTTCTGGGACATAAAGATTTTTTGACATGGGTAATTTACTAAATACTGTAAATCACACATTAATAACAAGGTATAAAATTAAAATTCACCCTAACATTTGACAAAATATTTTATTCCTTATTTTTTTTTTCTAAAGAACTTTAATTCTCAGTTTTTTATTTTATGGTAAAATATTCTTAGTTAAATAATAATTAATAGTTGAGTAATGATCATTACTTATCACCGACGTGATACGTTTTATATGTCCAAAGTGATAACGTGGTGTATATCACGTGTTCAAAGTGATGATATGACATATGAACCATGTCTAAAGCGATGATATAATAATGTCAAGTGTTTAGAGTGATGATTTGACGTATCACATCATCACTTTTGACAAATAATATATATCACGTCATCAATTTGAATATTTGACATATATCACATCATCACTTTAGACACATGATATGTGTCTCGTCATCAATTTATATGTTACATATGTCACGTCAATACTTTGAATACATATAGTTTACCACGTTAATGGTAGCGGTGACAGTTAATTAATGATTTCCATCTAATGAGGGGATATTTTCTCCCAAAATGAAACAATGAGATCAAAGTGTTTCAAAAAATAAGAATAAATATCAAAATGAGTATTTAGTTAAATGTTACGAGATTAGGGCACGTAATGGTTTTTTTAACATGGGTAATTTAGTAAATACTGTAAATCATATCACACAATTATAATAAATTCATGGACAAAAACTAAGAAAGGGTTTGGGGTTTATTGCTTATAGGTTTTGTTATGTCGCACTGTTTTTCCACAGGCAAGAACACTGATTAAACAAAGGAGGTATTTAGAGCTAGTTGATCCCAGAATTGGCGATTCCATTGATGTCTTCCAGCTTTACAGGATGGCTCAACTGGCAGAAAAATGTATAAGCAAAAATCCCAAGAAAAGATTAACCATGGATAAGGTAAACATCAAGCTAGATCATACATACATGGATGCATGCATGCATGTGCTTATACTTGAATCAAATGCTTGTTTTCTTGTACAGATTGTTTACTCTTATTATCTTTGATTTCAGGTGGTTTCAAATCTTGAATACATTACAGGAAGCAAGGCAAGTAGTTTAGATGAGGACCATTCTCCATTAAAATCAAAATTTACTCACAATTGTGTGAAGACAATGGAACATGAAAACTGCTATGAATACGAAGATGAAGATGTAACGAGTGGGATGAAGAACACATCTTTCTCCGCAAACCTTTGGAGATGCAGAAGTTTTGGCATTTCTTCTTCAGCTGAAGTGAAAAGCTATAAATTTAAGAGGGCAATGACAACAGGAAGCTCGAGTCAAGTGAATTATGGAGAAATGCTCAATTGAATCATTCACACCACTAAAAAATTCTCTTTTTCTCCTATCGCACTTGCTGTAAAATATAATTAATTACCATTTCTTCTGTTTAAATTTTTTCGGGTAAAGTACCTAAATAGTCACTAAACTATGGGATAAGTTCTATTTAGACCAACGAACTAATATTTTTTTAATCAGGCCACTCAACTATTAAATTGCCAAATAAATTTCTATAATTACATTTTAATCTTCATCACTTACCTATTCTATCAATTTAGTCACTTTAATCTAAATTAATAAATGTAATATTTTCGAACGACTAGTATCAAAGTATGTTTGTGTTTCGTAAAAGATAAAAAAAAAATATTTTCGATATTAACCTGATACTTCTTGAAACCCCAAAACCCTAAATTCGAAAAATATAAAGTCGCCGCACTTATTAATATTAAAGGGCATGTCTCTTAGACTGTTATAAAAGGAAACGAAGACGTTAGTTTCTTCACGAGCAAATCCATGGACAGATGAAAGATGTTAGTTTCTTCACGATTGGTCAAATGGATTTCATGAAATTGATTCCACAATTTGTTTCTGCTCCTGTTGAACGAACGAGAATCGAGCTTTCCATTTTTCAATAGTGAAGTCACGATAACACTAGAAGATGTAGCTCTACTGATGAGCATTCTTATCGATGGCAACAAGATAGCCGAAAACAGTCGATTTAATGTTTCAGATTATTTCTCAACTTGATTAGTTAAACAACACATGCAAAACTCGGCTCGACGAGATTAGTCTCAAGCTTCTTTACATTTGATGCATGCAAACACTAAAAACTGTAAGCACAGAATATTCCATTATACTAACTAAAGTTACAAGAGAGATATACGGAGGTACAAGATATATGCATTTTTTCTGATATTTGTGAAGTAATCAGCAACTTCCCATCATGTGTTTTCTAAAGGTACAAAAATCAGGTGTATTGGATTCTTCTCTGAAGTTCTTATATAAAAACTATAGAATCTCCGGGTTCGGGTTTAGCATCAAATGTAAATGCAAGTGCAGAACAGAACGCGACCCAACAGAGATTCAATGTTCAATTACCATCTTCAGAATAGAAGCACTAATGCAGTAGCCATTGTTAATAATATGGAGTAGGAGATGAACCGACCAGCAGCTCGAATTTCCTGTGAAATTTCACATAAAAAATACAATGAAATAGGAGGTAAAAAGAACATACTACAGCAACTTTAACTTTTCATGTGATGTTATACGAGCTAATCATCACAAACAAGTGATTCAATCAAACCACATATTTGCTATGTGCAAATTTAAATTTCATCCATCAGGGATTCCGGTTCATGCTATCAAGAAACCAAACCAGAGGACCAGAGGTACCAGGTATGAATGCAGTACTGGCTAGTAAAATACTACATAAAACACATGGAAATAAGATGCTTCTAATTGAAGGAAGTGCTTCCCATTTAGCATTGGTGTAACGGTATGATTGTTCGGTTGATAATGGTGGATGAAATAGATCGAGTGCAAAGGCCCCTATATAGTTTCAATCAGTAAGAAACCATTTATTGTCTTTAAGCTACTCTGGTCACAGGTAGTTCAGGAAACAGTTAGACTGCATTGGTTCGGCCTAGCGATACTGGCATTCCTACTAACAAATTGATCCACCTATGGTTATTTGGCATCTTTCCAGCATCATATGAACATTAAATCATTTTGGTTCGACAACTGATAGTCTGAAAGAAAACTAGCAAGTCAAAGAAGATTTATTCTATGAATTTGCTAATTCTGTCTGAGAATACAGAAATCTAGTAATATATATGTCAAGGGTGGGAGAAAACCTCGTACCTTCAGAGACGGCTCAGATAAGATTTATTCTACGAATTTGCTAATTCTGTCTGAGAATACACAAAACTAGTAATATATATGTCAAGGGTGGGAGAAAACCTCTTACCTTCAGAGACGGCAGCGATGAATCTGCAGATGAAGATTTATATCCATGAAACCCAATGTCATACGAGATGCTCCCATCCGGTTTAAACAGTCCGAAATTCTTCTCAGAAGTTGCCCCAGGCTTCAAATTTTCATTAAAGATTGCAAAAACATATGCCTTAACCACATTTTTTGGCCTGAATGGAGTTCCTTTCATCTTTGCAAGCCTCTTCCGCAAATTGTAATTGTATGTTCTTGCATTACTTGCTATTGCCGCAGCTTCAGTCTCATCTCCATGTGAAGCCCATCCAGTCTCTGTGATGATGACTTCCATCTTTCCAAATCCGGCTTTTTCTAAGGCAGCATAGGCTGCATCAATCTGAGCATCAAGCAGGTTATCGTAATGCAACTCAGTTTTCGGATCATCTGCTCCTTCCGTTGGTAGGAAGAGAGCATAATTGATATCAATTTGGTCTTTATTATACATGTAGGCTAGAAACGGGTACGCATTTAAACAGAATGGTGAGCCGATTTGCGAAAAAAACTCCAAGAGTGGCTTCATGTACTGAACAACATTATCTTTGAATACACATGATGAAGGAGGGAAGGAATCAGCAAAAACAGCTTGCGAATGTGCTGTGGTAACCTGAACTACATGACTCAATTTAAGCTTATCTAATGCATTGTAAACATTCTTAACTGCGCCCAGAAGAAATCCCGAAAATTCATCACTCCCTCCTAAGATTTCATTCCCTATAGCGATCCCACGAATCTGCGTATCAGGAAGATATGCCTGCACGTTGTCCTTGACCCAATTCATAGCATGTTCAGCATTGGCACTCACGTCTCTCAGATTTTCGTTTGGGAGTCCAACCACAAGTTCCAGCCCCGTCCCACTAAATGCTTTGATGACATTGAGATCGAAATCATAAATGCGAACATTCTTTATTTTTGCAGACTTAAGAAGTGTGACAACTTCATCGGGTGAAAGTATGTTATTTGCAATTCTTCCATAGTTAATGCCATAGGTTCCGGTGAATGCTTGCACAGTCACACTCGCAGATGCTGGAGAAAAGATTCAAAACACAGCTTTTTAATCAGACATCTGATTTCTAAGCAACATGCCATAAACAGGAAAACAATCATAATAACAATAGTCTTAACTTATCGATCACGAGTCCCGACATTAAATAATTCTCAAACCCTTAGAAAGATAGGCTGAAAAGAAGGAAGCAACCAAGGGACAGATACAAAGAGATGCAAGAACACTTAATGCCATTAACAATTGAACATATAAACCTTTTACACCAGTAAAACCATCTTTATAAATCAAAGTTCTAAGGAAGAAAAATCTCATATTTCAACTAGACGCGAATCAAAACATTATCCACCAAACTGATTTCCTATTCAATCTACTAACCCTGGCAATCAAATCCCAAACACAACTAAATATATACAGCAATTAGAATACAATTGCAGATTGCAAAAAGAGCAATCCTTTCAAACAAAGCATGAACAAGGTAAAGTTTCATTAGAAAAGACAATATAAACTGATCAAAACAAAAAATTAAACAAATTCCAAGATCAACCCAATTCAGACAACATAAAAAACCATAAAAAACAATCCACAAATGAATTGATTATAACCCTTAAAAAATGAAAAGAGAAAAGGAGAAAGTACCAATTGCAGCAAGAAAGATCAGGAAGAACAGATGAACCCCAAAACTTTTCATTGCCTTTTTTATTATTATTAGAATCGATCCTCACAAGGGAAAGACAAAAAGAAAATGGAAGAAATTCCTTCAATGCAATGCGTCTCGTAACTCTGGCATGCTATAACACAGTAAAGATTGTCTCCCTTTCTACTTCACTGTCCCTGCAAGCCTTTGTTATTTTACTCTCATAACGACCTCAGCTTCTTTTCTTTCTTCAACTAAAATCTGGGTAACTCTGGGAATGGAAGATTGTGAACTGTGAAGTGATTTTAGAGCAGAACAAAAGCTTTTTCTCTCCCTCTTTGGGAGGTTGTTCTCTGTGGGATTTTGACGAGGGAGAAGCGCTTAGGCCAGATTTTTTTTCTCTTTTCCTTTTAACTATTGAGTGAGTTCTGTTGTCTTAGCTTAGCTGCTTCTCCTTTTAAATCACTAAAATATGTTCTTTATTGCACTAAAAAAGAGAAAAATAACAGTTTTTTTGGGGGTTTAGGTGTTAAAGTTGGTGTCTTGCTTTGATTCGTTTGTTATTGATCAGTGCTTCCTTCCCAATTCTGAAGTTTTGAACTTTGATTTCTTACCCACTCGCTTTGCTCTAAGGTTATAACACGCGCCAAATGTGGGAAGAATTAAATGTTTTTCCCCTTGATTTGTTATAAATATGAAAAGAACTAAAGATTTTTTAAACTAAAAGTAATCACACTATAAAAAATAAGGGTAAACTACATATTTAATATCTAAATTATTTTTTTTTTATTTTGGTATTTAAATTTTATTTTTAAAAAAATTATATCTATCGTTTAGTTTATGTTTTAATTTAGTATTTTTTGTTTAAGAAATTAATAGAACTATTGACTTAATTTTTTTTTTCAGTGATGATGTGATATTACCTTACGATGATATGTTAACATCATCGTAAGTTTTTAACGACAGTTGATAGGGTACTAAAATAAAATATAAATTAAATATTAAGTATAATTTTAAAAAAATAAAATTTAAATATCAAAACAGAACAAAAATAATAATTTAAATATTAAACATGTAATTTATCTTAAAGATAAATGGTCTTATCCACTTTTCATTATATTTTATGACGTTGAGAAAGTTTCGTTTACATGAACATAGATCTTATTTTTTAAAATATATATAATAATATTTTAATATATATAGTAATCCTGATTTTGTCACCGGATGTAAATATAGTTTATTGATATTATTATACCATATACGAATTATGATTAATTTAAGTATTGTATAAAAAAATACGAATCAAACAACTTCAACGATTATATGATTTTTGTTATTCCTTGAGATTTTAAGTTCAAGCACCACATATTTATGAGTGTGATAGTTTATAATATTAGATCAAATACTATCTTATATTCACCTGAGATTTATAAAAAAAAATAAAAAATCTCTTCAAATATTTAGTATATATAGTTTATGTATTAAAAGTATAATTTTTTAAATTATATAACTATATGAGCATTTAAGTATGTTTAATTTTATACTATAATCAAAGGATCATTTGAGTATTTTATCTTTTTAATAAATACAAAAATAATAAGAAAGGGGTTTGATCAAAACTGAAAGCGCGTGGAAGTATGTGTGTGCTAATCTTTTGAAACGCGTAGACCACTTTTATTTGGCATGTTGTCTTGCTGCCACACGTTCGGTATACTAATGTCTTGGCAATGACCAGATGAAGCAAACTCAAACTTTCCCATTTTCTATTATGAGCACCAAAACTATATTTGAATTGAAAAATAAATAAATTTTGAGTTAAATTATAAAATTTAATTAAAATAATTAAAATAATAATAATTCAGAAAATTTAATAATTAATATATGAATTTTCAAGTTTAACTTGAATCTCTTAATTATATATGATATATGAAAAAATATAAAAAAAAATATAGGCAAAAATGTATCTAAGACCCTTATATTTTTAAGAAAAACCAATATGACAATCAAATTATTTTCACACTCAATATGACTCTCCAACTCAAAAAATAAATCAAATGTGACATTTTGACCAACGTTTTCCGTCATTGACCGTTACAGTACTGATGTGATCCATGGTTAGTCATTCACTTTTATTCGTCTAATGATCTTAAATCTATGTAAAATTAAAAGAATTTTACATTATGTTATAAGACCATATATATATATATATATATAGATTAAGATCAACTTACACTCAGTGTAAAACTCTTAGTTTTACGAGGAAAATTAAAGGCGGAGATCAATTTTTTTTTTCCATTTAATATCTTCTCATATTTTATTGTTAATCTTAACTTTTGATTTACTTCGTCCAACCGTCTTAAAAAGATGTAAAACTCTTAATTGGATCTGATATATATATTATATGGGGGGAGAAAGGGTGTTCCTTAGGGAAGTAGGCAATTTGAAGAAAAAAAGGGAAGTTAACGATTGGTAGACAAAAGAAGGTTCATATATATTCAATATAAAGTAGTACTACTCAACTTTATACTTTTGGATTCTGAACCCTTAACGCGTATTCATTACAGAGAAAAACAAGACAAAATTCCCCATTTTCAACGGCTCAATGGAATCCTCACTAAAATCATAAAAAATTTTGAGAATCAATGACAACTTTTAAAAAATTAAGAGGTACTTGATTAAAAATATTCAAAACATTTGAAACATAATAAGAATTTCTAAACTTTTTTAAGGAACTTAATTAAAATTTTCAAAAGACTGAATGTTAATTTACCAAAGTTTTGAAGGGCCAGGGCCCTCTCTTATGATCCTAGTACAACCATCATACGTCGTCGGACATCATTCAAATCATAGAGTAGGGACGGAAGCATGATTTTATATAAGGAAACGAATTTATAAAATTTTAAGAGAGTGAAAAGCAAGCATTGATGAGTAGAAATTTGGTATGACCAGATACAGAGATGGAATAAAAAGATCAGCCCAATTCATACACAAAGCATAATACTCACTACTCTGAATTCGTAAAGCTCCGCACTTATACAGCGAATAAAATTTAGTGAGTAAAACAAACCAAACCTGGAAGAAGACTCTTAAGTTGAAAGATTAAGTGAGCAAACTCCATGAAGTTGAACGCCAAGCTAAGCATTAAAATTCAAAGAAAACAGCTATGGAGACCGACCTGCAAAAGCTAAAAAACTAGAAAAAAAACCGTGTGAACCATTTCTCAAAATTTCTATCATGTTAATATATGCTGAATGCTGGTTCCTATAATTTAAGGGTTTCATTGTTCTGATTCATATGGATGCAGGATATTTGGTTAATTCGAACTAAAACCTGAAGCTGAATTAGCTCATGTCACACTGAGCAAGGCCTTTATACGATAGAAAGCAACAACAAAAGGTTGGAGCTGAATTAGCTCATGTCACACTGAGCAAGGCCTTTATGCGATAGAAAGCAACAACGAAAAGCTGAAGCTGAATTATCTCATGTCACACTGAACAAGGCCTTTATGCGATAGAAAGCAACAACGAAAAGCTGAAGCTGAATTATCTCATGTCACACTGAGCAAGGCCTTTATGCGATAGAAAGCAACAACTAAAGACTGAACCTGAATTAGCTCATGTCACACGGAGCAAGGTCTTCTACGATAGAAAGCAACAACGAAAGGCTGAACCTGAATTAGTTTAGGTCACATTGAGAATTTCTTCGAAGCAACAAATTTTACGGATTCAAAGTGACAAACTGACAATCATTTGCAAGACCAATACATGAAATTTTGATCATTCTACCTCTTTAAGCATGTCAACTGCAGGTGAGTTTGGAGCTTAAAGGCAACCAATTCCAATTCATCCTGCAGCAATTGGTACTTCGGTTGGGGTCAATAAACAATAATTTTTTAAGCATATTATGTATGCAAATTCTGGTCAGTTTCACATTCTCCGATTCCACAGCTTTATTGAGTCAAAAAGTTAGGGTTTGGAACATAAAAGATAAATTCATAAGTAGACTTAGCGGCAAGCACCTTATAACTAATATTCACTACCAATTACCAAATAAAGTTCTAAAACTATATGGAACTTACAATGAAAAACCCTGCAAACTCGGATCACAAACTAAATCAAATCCCTAAATAACGAATCTCGAAATACTCACTGTTCAGGAGAATTAAGAAAGACGAAGCCCAGATTGTAATCCGATCTTCAAACTAAGAAGAAAAAAAGCACAGAAAACAGAGAAAGAGATGGAGCCGAAGATAAAAAAAATTTGGACCATTTCTCGATTTGTGCGTGTCATCCTTGCGCAGGGGCCATGCTAATCTTCTCTGTATCGTTCCAATTTTATCGGATGTCCCCGAAGGGACAAGCAGATGTAGTTGTTTCTTCTATATAAAATGTTCTTGTTATAAAATTCCTAACGGGTGTGGGATATTTAGTTGGTCCCCGACTAAATACTGTACCTAACTAAGATCAAGTCCCACGGTGTGGGCTGGTTCAGTCATAGGTCGAGTTGTGGCTCAACTGGGTACAAAAGCCATGGGCTCAACCCGGTACAAAATTTAAACCAAACTACTAGTTATCATGTTCGCTGCAGGAAGGGACCTTGACCCCTGATTCAATCGACCAAAATTCTATTATGGTCCTTCTAAAAATATTACACTTCAATTCATACTAAATAAATTGTTGAATTATAGTGTGCTGATGAAAATAAATTGATTTTTTTTACCATTAACATGTCATTTTTTTAATAGAAAGTTGTGATTGACAATAAAATGGGCGTTGATCAATGTTTTTATACGAAAAGAATTGGTAATAAGAGAAAGAAAGAAGATGATATCTATATCATGGAAGGTTTGGTCCCTTGATCAATCTTGGTTGGTGTTATTTATAGTGATCCTTAGCTACGATGTGAGACATGAAATCATTATATGACTATTCATAGATAAATCTAGTCATCAAATCTTAGATTTTATTCTAATAGGTCACATGGGCCTATTAGATGTCTTGTCTATACATTATTCTTGACCCTGAGACCTTTCTCCTAAGAACGTGGATTCTCTAAAGACTCTGATAAGCGAAAAGATCTATTTGGAGACCTTAATTAATGAAAAGCCGACAATTTTCATAGATTATGTCTGACAGAAATTTAGAAGTTTTCAAAAGTCGGTCTTCAAAGATATAACAGTATGCAATAGTTTATTTAATAATTTTGAAATTCTTAATAAACATAATTGTTCACGATCATATTCATTTATACCTTCGTTAGAATCCCTTAGAGTATTTGAAAAATGACTGGAGCAGATAACCCAACAGAATCCAGCAACCTTATCTTCTGCTAATACCTCTAATTTTTCCCAAAAACTTCTCCAGAAAAAATAAGGGAATTTAAAAAAAAATGGCAACTGCATTTCTCTCAACTGCTAGCTCCTTCTACCCATCTTCTCTTTCCCCTTCAACATCTTCTTCCTGTTCTTCTTCATCATCATCAACATTAGGGCCTGCATTTGTTTATCTCAACAATCAAAATGTCCAAAGAAGAAGAACCCTTTGCAAAGCATTCAATGAATCTCTACTACACGCTCCAGTTTTAAATAAAAGAGGCTTTTCCCTTTGTTTCATCACCAGCTTGGTGTTGGCTGCTGGAAATGGCTGCTCCAATGCCATTGCAGCAATTCTAGAGGCCGATGATGATGAAGAGCTTTTGGAGAAAGTCAAGAAGGATAGACAGAAGAGGCTTGAAAGACAAGGAGTAATCAGTTCATCAAGCAAAGAGAAAGGTTGGTTTTCTTCTTTGTTGGATTGAAGTTCTATGAAACATTGTCTCTCAATGGAATTCTTACTCCTGATGATATAAGCCCTGCCATGTTCTTAAGTTCAACAGCAAATATTCTTGTCTTTGTTGCTGTTTGCTAAAGATTACTGCAATGAAATGGAATGTTTCAGGATATTTGCAGGATCTTGTCTACAAGTTGAGCCAAATTGGACAAGCCATTGACAACAATGATCTATCTGCAGCTAGTTCAGTTCTTGGGGGAAGCACTGATACAGAGTGGGTCAAGAATGCCAATGTAGCCTTCAACAAGGTCATTGATGAATCTTCTTAACAATGTTTGCATATTTGATTTTCAGCAATATTATACTCTAACAGACAGCCCCATTCATAGAAAATGTTTCAAGAGATCAGATTTTGGGTCTTAGTTTTTCGAAAATTCTGATTTTGCTGTCATATTAGTATCTGAATTCCACAATGCTGGTTTTCTTGAAGATGCCCTATGTTCTGAAGATGTCACGACTGGTTTTCTTTACTTCTCTTAACAGCTGAGCTCTAGTCCTGAAGAGACAACGCAGGTCGAGACATTCAATTCTTCGTTAGCTTCATTGATATCATCAGGTAGTTCACTCATTCAAATAAAAAAAGAACTCGATATTCAAGCATCGAGGTTGAATAAATGCATAGTTGCATCATCCAAGTGACTATCAAAGAAAACTATAGTTTCTAACCTTCACCTACATGTTGTTAGCAAACAGCATCAGTACTATTCAAAACTAATATTTGTTTTGGTTATGGCTTTTCTTGTTTTGCAATGTACTCTGCAGCTACAAAAAATGATGTTGAAACATCTAAAGTAGCATTTGTGGAATCTGCAACTGCATTTGAGAAATGGATGACCTTGACAGGGCTTACTGGACAACTTAGAGGACTTTGAAGAAAAGTATGCTACTTTCATAAGAGTTGCTATGACTTTGCTCAATTTATATGAGCTTCGGTTGTTAGTAAGATTTATCAATCTCAACAAGCATACGAATTTCTCACTTTTCTGTAAGAATGAGTATTTATCCTTCCAATTGATTGCAACATACCAGAAGGACATTATGAGTTCCATCCAGTACTGTAAACTCTAGGTCTGACCAATACATAGGAAACAAATGTTTCAAATAACAATCGGTTACCACCCTCAATGAAAATAGAGTTGTTTGGAGAGTTTAGAACATATGAATAGTCGGGTGACCATTTTGTAACATTTAATAGTCGAGACTCAACAAAATAATGATCTACAGCTGAGGGACCATTTTATAACTTTTAAAAGTTGAGAGAATCAAAAAAAATCAACGCCTATAGTCCGGGGATTATTTGTGTACTTTATGGTGAATTGGTGATGATTTTGACTATAAGTGAAAGAGTCGTGGACTAAGAGTGTGTTATGTCTCAAGCATCTCAAAAATATTAAAAGGGTGTTATTTTTAACTTTTTTTCAGATGATATTCGGATAAAAACCTATATATTTACCATTGATTAATTTTATATGGAAACTTATGTAGAGGGGAGATCCAAAGGATCAAGGCCAACAATCCAAATATTAACCACAGGGAAGCATTCAACACTGCTGCTAAGAATGTAAGTTCATTTAAACCTGTAAAAAGTTTGATTATGTATAGGGACGAACGAAATATTTTATATTAAGGGGAAAAGCTTTAAAAAATTTTAAGAATCGATGAACTTATAAAATTTAGATTGACGAAAATATATTTTCAATAAAGAATGCATAAAAAAACTAAAATATATGGCACTTAATCTACTTGATCCATCCCTGATGATACTTACTGACTTCTTTTATTATTTATGTTCATAGTGGGCGCACTTCCCTCATATCCACTTTGGTCTCATGCCGGAAAATCAACAATCAAACTAAGATGGATGATTTCACGAGCAGGCTCATCAGTGAAGCATCTGATAAACAAAAAGATTATGTTTTTAAGATTGAAGAAGTACCCTAAATTCCCAGTAAATTTAAAGGTATGGTTTGAAGAAAACGAAGGCAGAGATCCTATGTGTGTCTCGAGGACATGGATTTATCATTTCCTTATTTGTATTTGCTTTATTTTGTTATTATTTATTAACGTATACGAACTAAATTATGTTCGTTTGTTGTCATCCACGAAGTGAACACATGCAATATCATCACTAAAAATAATAAATTCCACTAGGAATATTCATGTATATATTCTTTGTGCAAGTCAGAATTGTTGGTAATTGCATCACTTTAAGTTCGATTTATTAACTTTGTTTTACATTTTTCAGGCTTCTTTTGCAATTCTTGTCTCTGTTATCATTTGTTTCTTGAGGATTATCAACTGCAATCATTTGACATGACCTTTGGTAAACCCATGTTATTTGTTGTTAGAGTCAAATCCACAATTAGGCGATCATATACATTCGTCTTGTCATCCTACGAGTAGTTATCATGATTTTATGTCTGATATCAACATTAAGGGTCAGTGTATAAATCCTCATGTAAGACCGAGAAATGAACTCTTTCTATCTCTCGAACTCATACTACTCATTGTCTTTAATTCATCACTCTTCCTAAAATTACAGTTTACGGCTCTCCATTTAAATTAGAAAGAATAAACGACTTACAACAATGGGAAGTCGAAACCCAAATTATACCATCAACAAACTTATACAACACAATCTAATTAGGAAAACACTTCTAAATTGAGGTAATTAATCTATAATTGTGGATAAATATAAACATTTACACATGAACTTTCATTAGGCGTGTGATGTATTACGTGAGTTTTAATTTGGTGTAATAATGTACATGGAACTTTTATTTGTATTCAGTTACGTAATAGAGTGTAAAATATGATAAATGATTAAGATAGACAATGAAGATGGTCGTTTTTATAGGTAGAACGAAAGATGCACATGGAAAAGTAATTTTTTTAATAGAAGTTGTTAGTTTTATTTTAAAAAAATTAATTTTTAAAAAAATTAAAATTATAACAAGGTTTACAATTATTATCGATAATGAATTTATTATTTGGATATTTTTCTATAATGTTGGCACATGAAACTGGTCACTTTAGATTATACAAAGACTATCATGGAAAAGGTTAAAAATTCAATCAAAAGACTCGGACGAAAAATAAATACAAACAAATTTATTACATCAATAAACTAACTACAATAGGAGATTAAGCTATTAAAAGACAATCGAAAACAGTAAATTAAAGTCGAGCGTCGTGAGAAACTATCCACGAACATAAAATCGCGTATCCAAATTCAATCTAAAGGTCTAGAACAGAGAATATCAACATGATTATAAATAAGCATTATCTTATAAGTCGTGACATTGTCAAATCTAATACTGAGAAAATATAAAATAGAAAGAATGTCTAAACAATAGAGAAAGAAGACGAAAAAAATGTCACAAAAATAGAATTACTCTTATTAAAAAACTAAACAATAAACAAAATCGACAATCGATGATAAACATCAAAATTGATGTTGTCGCCAACTAAACTAAGTTAAAGGAAAAAAATTAATCTATCTATAAAGAGCGTCACAATCCCCTAAAGAACAAAAAAATAAATACACGAAAACGTACTTAAAGATAAGAAATCAGAATACATTTAATTAATTCTAAATATTTATTTATTATATCAATTTCATCGTGATTTTGAAAATTAAAAAAAATTAAAAAACTAAAATGAAAACTAAAATAAAAATCCTACTGATACTTCAATTCTTTAATTTTGAATGCTTAATATGCCAATCAATAACAGTAGAGTTCTTGCATGAAATCATATAGCAAAGAACTTCTCTATCAGTAATGGATTTGTGCTCCCTGCTTGCATAGAGTTCAACACGTTTAAGCATGAGTGAAATTATCATGTAATGCAACAATTAATAACATGAATATGATGTCTGAGTTATATTATCGGTTAATCTCGATTTATATTTACTCTTGATTTCTGAACTTATCAAATGGTTTCAGTAATGGGAAGGAATGATATTTTCTTTAAAAATTATGAGATCAAGCAGGCTCGTTTCTCCGGTTACAAAAAACTTAAAACAGAAATGGATTAAAAAGAATAAAGGTAAAGTTAAGTAGGTATTCTGTAATTTTTGGTAATTAGGTAGGTGGCTTAAAGATAAGAATACCACTAGTCTAGTGGCTAATGAGGTAGTTTACCTATATAAAATGATTGCTTTGATCAAGGATCAATTTAGAGCCGCAGATCGGGACAATCCGTCGACGAAGCTCGGTTAACCGTTTTTTCTAGTCTTTTGGAGGTAAGATTTTGGCCGGAGTAATATTTTTAATCAATTTTCTTTCCAATTTCTTAGCAACCAAACAGTGATTGCCGTACTTTTTAATTTTTTAATTTTTACATAACATTGTTAGTCTCTATTAGCATGGAGTAGCAAAGCAGCATGAAGTGCAGAATTCTTTAATTTTTCGTAATCTGTTGGGTTTTAGGTGTAAATTATTAGGTTTATAATGAACGTTGAAGAAAGATGAAGAAAAGAACAAAGAAACTAGGGAAGTATGAGATTGGTCGAACGATTGGTGAAGGAACATTCGCCAAAGTTAAGTTTGCAAAGAATACAGATACTGGAGAGAGCGTGGCCATTAAAGTTTTGGCCAAAACCACCATTCTTAAGCACGGAATGGTTGATCAGGTATTTATTTAATTATCTCAAAAAGATCCCTGAAATTCTTTGGCTTTACCTTGTTTAATTCATATTCAGTGTTTTATGGAACTGCTACTGTTTAATTTAGAGAACTAGTAGAAAATAATAAGTCTTCTCATAATTTGGTTAAAAGTAACTGTATCACTGCTGATAACCAAATTGGCTCTGCCTTTTGATTGTTTGGTTTGAAAGCAATTTGGGCTGTTTTACATTTTATGCTTGAATTGTAGTTGGCAAGATTATGGCTATGGGACATGCTGTAATAAAGAATACTTGAGAAGAAAACTCTTGCTTATAAGCTTTTCTCTAGGCTTTTGAACCTTTTTATTGGAAAAAAATAGATCATATCACTTTTCTGGAATTAAGTAACCAAAGGTGTCTGGAGAGTGGAGATTATTCTTTCCTCTCAAAACTTGTTATTATAATATGAATTCAAAGAAATATCATTCATATGCTGCTTTTCTTCGGGACTAGATAAACCTTCTTGTTGTAGCTCACTCGGGAGGGTATATGTGTGTTTGAGTTCATGCTTCCCTGGTCGTTCAAATCTAAGGCCTAAGGATTTTAAATGTTTAGGTGCGTAATATTTGAGAGCTTCAATTAACTGTGAAATTGGAGAAGCATTTTGCCTACCAGAAGAATCTTTTCCTCTTTGACATTTAGTTGGCTAGCCTTTTTTTTGTGGGGCTTTAATTTGCTTTGCTGGGTTGGTTTCAGATTAAAAGAGAGATATCCATAATGAAGATTGTTAAACATCCTAACATAGTTAGGTTGCACGAGGTATGTGTATTCAATTAATGTACATCACACTTTTATATTCTTGGTTACATTGTTGATATTTACCTTGACCTTTTTTTAATAAAAAAAAAAAATAGGTATTGGCAAGTAGGACAAAGATATATATTATTCTTGAGTTTGTCAGTGGAGGAGAACTCTTTGATAAAATTGTAAGGCATCTCCTATCTCATAATTATGGCAGATATTTTTTAATTTCTTGGAGATTGTCCTTCCTTTGTTGTTGGTTTCCCCCCGGGAAATATTTATCTCCTCTTGACTCTTTGTTGGTTCACCGTGTAAGACTTCCTGAGAATGAATGTAGGCAATACTTTCAACAGCTTGTTAATGCTGTTGCTCATTGTCACAGTAAGGGTGTTTACCACAGAGACCTAAAGGTGCAATATTTTTGAAATCAATATCTTTGAAAATCAGTGTTTCATGATAATCCTGACCAACTTTTCCTTTTCCTTTGTAATTTATAGCCTGAAAATCTTCTTCTTGACTCTTCTGGAAATTTGAAGGTGTCCGACTTCGGACTGAGTGCATTAACTCAGCAAGTAAGCATACTGACTAATATCTGTGTTCTTTACAGAAAAGC